AATCACAAATACCCTGGCATACATAATTAAGCTGAATACTTCGGATATTATTATAGAAAGAGAACTCAGTGTGACCACAAAAAATAAGATTAAATAGGATACCCTGGCTAATATGAGCCTACACCAGCACGTAATCATGATGGGAGCTTATACCAGATGGGAAATGGAGTTTGCATGCTCCAAATGGAAATGACGAGCCTTCTGAATTATACTGGGATGTAAATGTGCATGAAAAGGCCGTTACTACAACATGAAACGGAGAGTCTTCACTGAAGTCAAACAAAGTAATCCAGACACTGTCTTTACGCTGTTGTGCATTACATTTAGAGTCATTAACCACTGAAGAGTTGCCATTGGAAAGTGGAGTTTGGTAGCAGCATACAGGCCTGAATATTTTTATTTAGAAAACATTTCACATATTCATAAACCCGTTCAGTCCCAGTGGACGTCTGCTGGAGGAGCTTCGGTTTTATTCTTCATCCACAGTGTATCAAACTGAGATGGTGCACTTCTCTATGGCTCTCCGATGACTGCATTTGCAGCTAGAGGAGCGGAGTTTAAGATAAGCCTGGATAAAATGAACCTTGTTGATCTCATAACATTGAAAGTACCACAGCAGCAAAAAAGGAAGACAGATCATTCGGCGTAAACTGAAATGAAAGTTGAGGAAATATGATGCATGAGAGTAGATATAGAGTAAATTTACACAGCGTCTAAAATGATAAGTCTTGTCTAAAAAAAAAATAATTATGTTATTAGCAGAAAAAGATGCATCAGTAATTTAACAATGGCCATCCAACACTCAATTCCCAGTATTTTGGTGAAAATTAAGGTAGCATTCGGCTGTGGATGTTTAATTATGTAAATAAACTATAGACTTACAATAGACTTTTTTAGGTATTAAACTTTATTAATTTTAAACTTAATTTATATACTGTAAAATTAATTTTATCCACAAAAGTTACTCTATCATTTGGTCATTGGAAATTCATCCACAGGGCACTTCACCACTTTTCAAATACTCTGGGAGTTCAAGTACTCCTAGGAAAAGGTAGGGCGGCAGTAGCTCAAGAGGTAGAGCAGTCGTCCAATAACTGGAAGGTTGGTGGTTCGATTCCCCCCTATCCTGAGTCTGTCTGTTGTGTCCTTTGGCAAGACACTTAACCCACCCTGCTCCCAGTGTGTGTCCTCCACTGGTGTATGATTGTGAGTGTTGTGTGGTGGTGGTTGGAGAGGCCGTAGGCGCAAAATTGCAGCCACGTTTCCGTCAGTCTGCCCCAGGGCAGCTGTGACTACTAAGGTAGTTTACCACCACCAAAAGTGTGACTGTATGAGTGAATGAATGATGTATCCAATGTAAAGCACTTTGAGGGTCTCTGATTTAGCGCTATATGAAATCTGATGCATTATTATTATTAAAAGAAACAAAGCTCTTAGACTTTTCTGACCGTTTTACAGCCGTAATAATGAAATATCTCCAAATCCCCATTTGTAGCCTTTGTAGGTATAGGGTTAAAACATCTGACACCGAAGTACGTGACAGAAAATCCAGATATTTCTCTCTGGTAAAGCTTGAAATAAAAAAAAATGCAATTAATTTGAGCTTTCTACACGAATCCTGATCATTATCATGTAAATGCTGAATTTGTGATGCTAAATACTTGCATAACATGAACCAGATCGCTTTAATAATAAGAGGCAGAAATATGAAAACAAGATCACCAGGGTGCACTTATTATTCTCGATAAGAACTGAATCAAATGTTTGTGTGTTGTATGTCACAGAGCAGAGAATAAATATCCAATTTAGCTCCTAAAGTCTCCCCAAAGAGTCTTCAAACACAGAAGTTTCTTCCGTCTTAAAGGTCCAAAGATTCACAGAATAAATCAGACTCATAGCGCTCATCATTAATGCACATTATAAAAGCATGAGCAGCTTTATCATTTACATGTTGGAGAGGGTCCCCCTCTCAGAATGTGCATTAAATACAATAATAGACCATTATGCTTGCATCAATGTGTCTTCTGCATTTTAATGCTGTACAGCTGCAGGCGGAGTGGAGGTGACTTAATGCACTTAATTTAATGTTGCTGACTTGATTTATGGCAATGCAACATATTTTATTAGCTATAAAGGGTATTTTGTGAAATATCATTTTGCTGCAAGAGTAACAAGCGACTATGGAAGTAAAATAAATGTTAAATGCAAATTAACGGCCTCTGAAATGTTACTGCATGTAAAGTTCACGATGGCCTCCCGCCTTTGAATTTGCATCACGTTTATGGATGGTATTTACAAGTTACAGGACACCCCATTGGGATAAAGGACAAAGTCAAAAGGTAAACCAGGTATTAGGGTTGAGTTTCCTAATCCTGGGTCTTGGAGTGGTTCCTCAGTGGTCCCTGTAAAAAGAGAGGTCGGCTCAATTTCTCTCTTCCTGTTATCTCTACTCTGACAGAACAGAAAGGCAACAGAAGTCTTTAAAAGGCCCCACAGGATAAAACCTCTGTTAAGTCCTCCAGACCTCTATTTGGGCAAGATTGATTTTTTCCAGTAAAAGTTTGGTATGAGATTTTCCTCAGCCTCTGATATGAGCCTGTAGTCTGGTGAGGAAGAAAAACATCATGGACCAAAGTTTGCAGGTCTCACACAACTTAATTTGCTGCAACTTTTAAAAAAGTGTCACCCTTTAACACTTATTTTCTTTGCCAGTCCATGAATTGACAGTTTATCACAAAACCTGTCAAAAAGTGTGTTTTGAAATGCACAGGAAGGTGTTGGCTGTGGGGACTGGTTGACAGGCTGCCTCACCAAATAAGTCCTGAAAATGTCTGCTTGTGCAGAGAGCAGCCTTGCACGCTCACCTTTAACCCTTTGAATCAGGTTGTAGATTCTTGTTGCAGGTAGAGAAGCATTAAAGTTTCATGCACGCCTAGTTGTGGATTGCAAATATATATCAAGTTTTGTAGACAACCTTGTAACTTTTTGTATGTGCCAACAAAAGAACAAACATATATATATCCATGTAGGCCTCATGAGTTTTACAGTAAGGTTGTGGGGCAGTTAAAGTGTTTGTGAGATTCTCTTGGAAAAACAACAAAATAGGAAGGGAGCAGAAGATGGCCTTGAGATACGGGGTAAACCGGATGAAAATAGGATGGTATGATCTCGTCAGGTGTGGATGCAAATTATTACAAACATCATAACAGAGCGGGAAAGAGAATAGTGGATTTGATTGAGGGCTGCACAATTTTGGCCAAAAGTAAAATCCCAATTTTTTTCTCTGGAAACTCAATTTTCGATTTTGATTTTTTTTTATTCAGTGACAACGTCACCAAACTTAACTTTAATAAAAAGTTTTTGTATCATCTCTGAAAACGGAACCACTTAAAAGGATGTAGTGCATATGCCAAGCCAATAAGTGGTGCTGTAAAGCTACAGAGGAAATGCTCAAAAGACAGAAGAAGAGTACAGAGCATGCGTACAAAGGTTGTTTTGGCCGGACATGCGCAGCCACCACCAAAGAGTTACGCTGTGTGTCACATAACCGTTTCGATAGAAAAGTACTGTTAACAGTCACCCAAAACGCCGTTTCTGTGTGGATAAGACGCTAATACGACAAAAAACGTTTGCATTTACTCCTGAATTCTTTTCCGTGTGGATGGGTTGATACCACCTTCAGCCAAACTTGTCTGAGTGGTTTGCAGACTTGCCTGAACGGCTCTGATCCGGAACTGCGTCGAAACTGCGACGATTTTCGCTGTCCGCCAATTCCTACCTGATCCATTTGTGAGGCGAATTTTGTGGCTGTTTACGGACAGCAGGAATTGCGCGAACTCACAAGAACCTGCGGATTCACGTGCAATAACAAGTTGTCTCTAGCCACATAGGCTAACCTTATAAGCAGTATATTGTGTCCTTCAAGAGGAGGGTATCTACTTTTAAAATCAGCATCTTCTCTTCCATGGTGTAATCAGGATAAAACGCTGTCTATAAACCTTTCACTTGTTCGTCTCCGCCCGTTTGCATGGTGCGAAATACGATTCGCTTAAAACATGTGAGTGTTTTATTTTGAAAAGAAGCCAGATGTTTTATTTTGTGTCTGTGCCCGACTTCTTTTCCAGCACGGGTTAATCTGTGCTGAATTTATCCGGAATGCTCCGGCGTCAGGAAAAAAAAACTCTTCCGATCAACTGCGGAGTCTAGCGATCCGTATCGAAACAGAGAGAAGCTGATAGATTGACACATTAACTTGAATGGTTACAATCAGCTACGATCGGCGGATACGACCTCTTCATAGCTGTTCTGGATGCGGTAGAAACTGGGAGTCAGAGCATTACATAAACGGTTTAACTGAGCCACGGTTAGGATTTAACCAGCTGTTTGTACGTCCGACATGGAGAGGGTTGATTAAATGTTATTTCAGTCTGATTAACGTGTTGACATGTAGTTTAAATGTCAAGTTTCAGTCAGCTTAATGCAATAAATGGAATTTCTAACTGCATGTATACATATACATGGTGATATCTCTCTTGAAGGAGTTGTTTAAAACTTCAGGGGGCAGAGTTGAGCCTTTTTTGCATTTCTTTTATTCAAATGACACATTAAATATGTTTTTTTTGTTAGCAGGCAGGATGTGTGTGAAGTTTGGTCAGTTTTGGACACGTTATAATCTCCAACATCACGGTTTAGACAGTAGAATAATACCACCTCGCATTTCAATAGGACACTTGTCTTGAGGCTCAGGCCTTAATAATTTTGTCACTCCAAGAGGATCCAAGTCCAGGTGTGAAAATCTCGAATTTTCCGTCACAGGGGTACTCAGGCCACAAATGTGCTGCCCCTAAATTCTACATTCATATGAGCGCCCCTGCCTGCCTGGGGTTCGGGGTTGCAGCCTTTGAGCCGCTCTCATTTGAAGTAGTATTTTAAATAGGATGCACTTTGTCTTGTGTTGACAGGTGAATCCAGGGATCTGACCGTCCGTGCCACGCATGCACCGCTGGAGCGCACGAATCTGTTCTCGCACCGCCCTCCTCCTCCTCCTGTCCGCCTGCTTGCCGGGAGGAGCAGAGGAGCAGCGCAGACCGGAGCGCAGCATCCACAGCCACGGTACCTCAGGGATGTGGCAGTAATCTCGACAGCTCGAAATGCCCCGTGAAATTCCCAAAGTTTGTCCTTTTATGAGAGCTGAAGGCGGCGAATAAATCACAACGCGCGAGTCAGAAGAAGGAGGAGGAGGAGGAGAAAGAGAGAGAGTGGGGGTACGAATCGCGTGGAGGTGCATCGGCTGCTGCAGAAATTTCCAGCGGTACCTTCCTGCCTCCTTCCCCGGGCACGCGTGTTCTCTGTGTATCGTGGCGGATCGTGAAACGCGTCGCGGCTTGTCTGACTGTCAGGGAGGGAAGACGAAGAGGGAGAGAACCGGGGGAGCCAAAGCGATCCACCTCTGACGAAATCCACCCCGCAGCGCGTACCGGAGTGGAGGTGAGTGCCGACGTGGGTATCATCAGTTGCTGTGATGTTGACTGAGAGTTGAGGAGACGGTTTCTGAAGGACTCACAGGTGACAGAGGCCACGTGGTTTGACTGATAACTGTAGGAAACCTGGCACGCGTGTGTTTTGGGTCTTATCGAGATGTGCACACTGTCAGAGCCAGAACTTTGTGCACCGTTACGACCGCCGAGAGCAGCGTGTGGGTCCGATTACACCACAGACGCATTAAACCACACTCTGAGAGCATGCAAGCAGATCATCATCTAACCAGGAGAGTCTAATATTTCACCATGTCCTTAAATGCATCATGAGTCTATTACAGTTGACATGAAGTCTGTGACTGCTATTCAAACTTTGGAGCTCAGAAGAGAAGGCAAGGTGTGAACAACCAGAGAAAAACTAACATAATTCATGTTTTCATTGCAGCTAAATCTGTAATTTGATTGAACCAAACTGCAGAAATGTGAGGATTGACCGCCCCTTAGTCTCATAAGTCTTTATAAAATCAATACATTTTGATTTTAGGCTGTTTTTAAAGCAATCTAGAAAACATCACCTTCAGCTACAACTGTCACATTTTCTTCTAAATCAGTAAATGTTGGATTAAAAACAAACATTAGATTAAAATAATATTGTTTCTTCTTGTATATCCCTTAAACTCAACATAACTTGTCTTCAGGGACCGTCCTCAGCCGCTGGCCGACTCCAGCTCTCCGAGAAATCAAAAGTGCAGCTGAGCGAAAGAGCAACTCCACAAACACAGAAGCTCTGTGCAAAATTTAACATCTGCTGAAACTTCATATATATATTCTGCCAAAACTATTAAAAAAGGAAGCAAAGGAGTTGAATTAATGTGATCAAATGTACTTGATTATCGTGACTTTTTGATTTGTTATTGAAATAAATGTTTAAACCGTGACCTAGAGGTAGGAGACAGCTTCAAGTGCTCGTTCTGTTAAACCCAGTGTTCACTTCTCTACTTCTTAAAGAGTAACATTGTATGATATATTCAGGAGAGCATATACAAAACATGACTTTTTCCAAGATAATGTTGACTCCTGGTTAATGCAGCATTTGCACTTTTTAGGAGTTCCAGTTTGATTGCTTCATCTGTTTTAATCCAGTTCATGTACGCATGAACGAGGGAGTTATAAGTGGTCCCAGAAAGCCAAACTGAAGACGTTTCTTATGCCTGAGTTTGTTACAGTGTCGATTGGCCACCAGTGAGCTCTGCCAACAGACCCATCTGAGAGAAACGAGCCAATCAAAAGTGCAGCTATGTTGTTATTTTGCATCCAAGTGGAAAAAAAGAAGCAAGAAGAAGCTGCGGCAGCTCAACTACGGTGTGCTATGAAGGACAAAATAACGTGATCTTTAAAAAAAAGCAGGTTCATTTATAGCACAGTTTGGCAATGAGTGCTCACACATTCAAAGAATTACGACAGATGCTGAAAACACGCTAAAAAGTAGAGATGCACCGATCCATTTTTTTCGGATCCAATCCGATACCTGGGCTGAGCGTATCGGCCGATATCCGATACCGTTCCAATACTACTGTTGAATGAGTAAACTGTATACCTTGCCCTGTGAGTGAAGACATCAGGCTTGACATTAGCCTTGTCAAAAAAAAAGTAAGAAATTAACACAGGTATAAATTAATTTAATATTATTTATTAACAAATAACAAATTACACATTAGCACACAGCAAAAAGAAGTTAGACTTCCATACATTAATAGAAAGATTAGTTAAAAGAAAAAAAGACCGGATCGGAACGCTGGATCAGCGTCATTCATCCGATACCTGATCCAGTTAATCTGTGAATATCGCAGCCGGTGCATCCTTACTAAAAAAGGCGTTTTAGGTCATTAATTTAAGATATCTTCAAATGAAAACAGCAAACAGAAAGTTAGAATACCTGTGGTTTTAAAATAAAAGCATTACTAAGTTACAGTGTAGTCTTCTGTAATTAGAGAAAGCAATAAAATTGCACCATTATTAATGCACCAGCTCTGACAGCACAGTTTTTTGTTATTGATCTCAGTCCAAATAAACAGCAGAATAAGTTTTATAAACTTAATTCAAAATTTCCTTTTTTCCTTCATTTTATTACCGTACCAATTAAAAGAAAATGAACTTTGAGCTATTGTGTCCTTCAAAATCAAACTACTAAAATGCACTTTGACCCCGTTCCCCTGAGACTCGCACACAAACACACACACACACAAAAGAAGGTACAAACAGGAAACAAGGAAAACAACCCAGAATTAAGTCTCTGCCAAGACTTAATGTTCCCGCAAAACCAGTGCGGTGAAATAAAGGTGGAAAAAAGGATTTCTGCCGTTTTCTCGTGAATTAATTATGGCGTCAGTATCATGGAGGTGTTAACCAGGGATCGTTCCTGACACTCAGTGACTGAGTCGACTCCTCGACAGTCTGCAGTGTGAGAAGAAGAAGCTGCTCGTGCCTAGAAACTATTCTTGACTTTACTTTCCCGACGCCGAATTAAAGTTGTAACAGTATAACGCGTCACCCAAGGCGTCCATTGTCCTTAAAGTCGCCAAAGAATTGCATCATTTGCTGGAGTCATTCGTGCACTGCGGTGCGAATGACAGCTCTATGGCTCATCTGAAAGGCCTGTAGCACAAACAGCAGCTCATTACAAGTGAAGCAGCCCGGGCTTCCTCTGGCGGGAGGCTGCCGGCTCATTAGGGGTCACAGAGGGGCGAGTCTCCCACCATGCGCCCCGGCTTGTTACCAGCGCGCTCTGTGAAGATGCTGTTAATTGGAATGAATTCATTTTCACTGACAGATTGAGAAGAGGCACACGAGTCAGTGTAAACTCTGTCTGGACTGTTGGCTGTTGTTTAAGTGATATTTTGGTTTAAAAATGTGAAGCCTTGAATTAGACTCTCCTCTCCACAGCGGCACACTGGTTCCCAACAAGAGAAAGAACTAATGGCGCCTCATTAGCTCCATGGGGGGAACACAGGCATGTTTACTGTCCATTAAGAGCACTGGTACCAATGGTTACCATTTGCCTCTGAGATTTTTTAGCACATAATTTTTAATGAAACATGAACATGACATGGATCTGCAGGGGATTCAGGCAGGGAGCGTTTTTCAGTTCACAGCTACAAAAACTTGATTTAAGATTCTCAGAGTCAGACTCACGTTCACCTTAAAGACTTAAACTCTCCCTTTTAGCCATACATAAAACATTCATGCAACTTTCCGCCCTTTAAAGTCACATTTCTGTGTTTTAAACGGCATCATTTAAACCAAAAAGTTATTTGAATCCGCCAGCGTGGAGAAAGTCTGCAAACGTTCGCTCACAACTTTAAAGGCCTGGCGATGAGCATAGCATGAACGCTATTTTCGCTAATGAGGAACCGCTTTATGTTTGGTGGGTTTGAACTATTGGGTTCTTTTGGGAACAACAAACGATGACTCAATGAAAGTTCTGGCCTGTGGATGATGAAGTCTAGAGGAGGATGTATGAAGCAGCAGCTCTCCTTTCAGTCTTTTTGACCTTCAGGGCCCCGTGCAAAAATCTGTTTAGCATGAAACGGTTTTTATCATCATAGCTGTTGACCTACAGGTGATTTTGCTTTTTGTTGCACTCATCCATAGAAAAACTATAGAAACCAAATTAAGTAATCATGTGTTATGCAACTTTTACAAGCTTTACGGTGATTGAGGTCTTTTATTTTATCTTCCAATTGGAGACACAGCCTATCGTACATCAGGGCATTTGCAAAAGAAGGCGATAATTTCATGGCTAAATAGGACAAGAGCAAGTCAGTCGTGTTGAATTGGTACGGCTTCACAGTTTGGGACGAAGAGCAAACCACTCCCCGCTGCAAAGTCTGTCTGAAGGCGGTATCAACCTGTCCACACAGACACGAATTCTGGAGTAAACGCAAAAGTTTTTTGTCGTATCGGCGTTTCATCCACACAGTGATTTGGGTGACTGTAAACGGTGCTTTTTGAAAATGAGTGCATAAATCTGTAAACAACTACCATTTCATCTCCGTGTGGATGTCTATCTGCATCTCTAGAAACGATTATGTGACACACAGCGTAACTCTTTATGGTGCCTACGTGTGTCCGGCCAAACCAACTTTTATACGCATGCTCTGTACTCTTCTTCTGTCTTTTGTGCATTTCTTGTGCAGCATTACAGCGCCACTTATTGGCTTGGCATATGCACTACATCATTGTCAGTGGTTTCATTTCAGAGATGATACAAAAACTCATTATTAAAGTGACGTTTGTTGAAGTTGTCACTGAATAAAAAATCAAAACCGAAAATCGAGTTTCCAGAGAAAAAATTTGGGATTTTACTTTTTGCCAAAATCGTGCAGCCCTCATCTCAGGTTTGTCCTGACTGCAGTTCTTCATCTCCGAGTGGACTCGCTGTACGGACTCCTGCTGTGTGGCTGCTGTTGTTCATACAGGGCAGATCCCAGCTGTGAGTGTTCAGACAAGACAGTACAAAGTCCTGCTGCTCCCGCTGCAAAAAGGACTCATGCACTTAACTTCGCAAGGGTCCGGAAAAAAAAAACAAAAAAAACAGTAAAAGTCTTAAATCAAGTGAGTCATACTCTAGTTTTCATTCATACTGTTCAGGCCATTAAAATAAAGTCATTTTTTCAAAAAGAGAAGAGGCTTTCATTCACTCCGTGTGCTCAG